CGTCCATGGCTGCACGCCACTCCTTGGCGTGTGGTCCAGTAAAAGCCTGTCGTTGAGTTTTAGGCTCGACGATACGTGGAGCGCTGGTGACGGCAGTGTGAAGGCAGAGCAGTTGAAGGCCTGTGACATTGGCCGCGCCTTCGGCATCATGAGAGGTGACTTCCACCACGTCGTCGTCATCTCTGTCATGTGCAGGTGGCGGGCTGTTGGGAGGATCGTGGTGCCGCGAAGATCCAAAAGTAGGAGCGTCATCGTCATCGTTGTCATAACGAGATTGAGGATGTACGCCGCGATGTTCTTCGGCGGGATCGCGATCAAAGATGGTTTTAGCTGCCGCATCTTCCGGCGAGGCGAAGCTTCGGCCGTTGTTGGCGTAGGCCTGAGCGACATTCCTGCGTTGGTCTTCGATCCACTGCTCCAAGGTAAGTCGCTCGTAGAAGAGAATGTCGCGCTAGGGCACGATCTTGTTGGTGTTAAAGTCTAAGATCAGCCATCCCTTGTATTCGTAGCTGAGTCCCAGATGGACACCCTAGCGTGCCTGCTCAGTGAACTTGCCGATGGTTGCGGATGTTGGTCTGTACTGTACCATGCACCCCTAGACCCTCACATGGAGGTGTCTCCCCTTAACCCGGTCCACTTCATGTGCGAGGAGAGATTTCCCCTATCCGCCGTGGTTGATAGTAAGTTGTGGAGCCGGCGTGGTTCATGGCGTAGGGCCAGAATTTCTTGGGGAGGCCGAACTGGTTCATGAGCGCGCGGACTTTCGTCATGATGGTGCGGTTGAGCCGCTCGGCGACACCTTGCTGCTGGTGAGCATAGGGGAGTGAGATGTGGTGCTTGATCCCCTTCTTCGTGAGGAAAGCTTGCAGTTCGTTGCCGCAAAATTCCTTTGCGCCGTCCATCTGCCAAATCTTTAACTTCTTCCCCGCGTTGCGCGTGCGCCAGCCAGATGCGGAAAACCTCGGAAGCCTTGGAGCGGAAATCAACACTGGCCACCCAGACTTAGCATGAGTATGCGTCGATGAAGGTGAGGGTGTGGCTTTCACCTTTGACTCCTCCGTACGTTATGACGATAAAATCGCTAAAGACCTTTTGTAGTTTCTTGTAGCGGTTGGTGCTTGGCTCCAGGGAAGGGTAAGCTTGGTGCGTGAGGGCAGCAGTGGGATAGACGGTGCAGGTTATTGGATGTGTTGTGCTTAGTGGTTCCGTGCCGTCGGTTCGCAGAAGTGCTCCTGGCTGAAAAACTTTGGTGCGGAGGCAGTTGTTGAATGTCTGGCGTGAGGGGTGGCCAAGTCGCTGGTGCCAGAGATCGTCATCTGCGCGGACTCCAAAGGTGCGCAGGTATCGTGCGTGGTATTCTGCCGCCTCTTCTTCTGTCTCTTGTGGGATGTGGAGCACGGTTCCTTCTTCTTCTCCTGGTTCTTTGTTGTCTTCCTCTTTTGCTTCTTGTTTTGATGCTGTTTCTCCTTCTCCTTCTTCAGGAGCAGTTGTCAGATAGAGCGGGAGGAAGTTACGATTGGAAATGCTGTTAAGCGGGGTTCTGGTGCCTTCGATGAAGCGTGCGAAGGGATCGGGGCAAGAGACTGGTCTGTAAGTGTCGCGCGGCGGTGTTGCGGGCTCGTTGCCTTCTTCGAGGCCGGTCCGGGAAGATTCTTAGATGATAGGTAAGAGGGGTGGTGATGGTAGATTACTCGGAGGTCGCCCAAGAGGGACTGCAACCCTCGGTGGCATGCGCTCTACTGCCGCTTCTCGTTATGCCTCCTCCAGTTCTTCTCAGGTGAGCTCCCTTTCAGTCACACCCTAGGCTCCGACGGTGTCCCAGCCGCCTCCGCCAGTGCCCCAACCACTCACGGTGCCTGATGCACCTGTTGCTGATCCATGTTGCTCCGGTGTCGCCTGTTCCCCAACCTCTGCTTCGTGCAGATTCTTCGTCCCACCCCGCAGCACGCCGTTCATGATTCAGGCATTCTATCTCCTCTACTTCTGCTTTCTCTTCCTCTTCCTGGACGCTGAGTTTTTCAGGTTTGTCAGGGTCTTTCCACTCTTTGTCGATGTGGCGGTAGACCTCGCGAGGGGAAGGACAGGGTCGGTTTTCTTCGTCAAAGGTTCCAATGGTGGCCTCCACCAAGATCCATGGAAGGGTTCAGTAGTGGGGGTTGGTCGTTGTTGTTCTGTTATGCCAAGCTCCCTGTTTCCGGTCCCGAAGATGCGATGGGTTGTGACGGCTAGCTCCATTTTTGTCATGCCTTCTGGTTCCGCTTCTGCGCATGCCGCTTCCTGAATTGCCGCCAAGTCTCTTTCGACTTTTTTGTGCGGCTTGCCGTGGGCGTAAGGCAGGTGGTGCAGAGTCCGTCAGTTCCGGGCCGGTGTAGGTTTATCTCATGCGGGTGAGGACTGCGTCTGATCCAGGGCCGTCCGTCAGGGTGTTTCTAGGAGTCTTCGTCTATGTAGGCGAAGTCCAGCAGAATCAGGTCCACAAGCTCGTCTGATGCTGACCTGCAGTCAGGTATGTCAAAGTCGAGCACGTAGATGCCGTTGATTGAGCGTGCTCGCCCGAGGTACTTATGCGTCTCGGCGGGTGAATCTGTGGGCGCATAGTTGAGGATGAGATCGCGGATGTAAGGGTCGGCGGTAAATGTGACTCCACAGTCAGAGAGTTGTGCCGCGGACAAGAGATAGAAGCGTAGGTCCGCCACTTAGAGCACGTCGTTGAACGTGATGTGTGTGTTGCTGTCTCGTGCTTGCAGTACGACGATGCCTTGCGCATTGGCGCGTAGTTGGCCGTTGTCAGCCACGGTGACGTAGGTGGGAGGGGGGGTGCGACTGATGTTGGAGATGTAGCGCACCAACTCCACCATGTGTTGTCTGCAGCAGCTGTACAGGTTCCAGTTGTTGTGGGGCGCATTGTTCCTTCGCAGCAGTAGCGCGAGTCGTGGTGTGACTGTCGTTGGTTCGTCGATAAAGAGGAAGTCTTGTTCCTCTCGCAATGTGAGGGGAACCAGACGTTGATCATGGCGGTGAGGCGGGCTCTCCCTCAACTGGATGGGTAGGTGCCATTCCTGACGGTCTTCATCTTCTTAGTGCCTGTCGGTCAGTGAATTGTTGTGACCCACTTCCGATTGAATTAATTCCCCAGTGGGTTCCTCGTCTTTGTTAGGAGTAGTAGCTCGTGGGCGACACCTCGTCGCCATGTTCACAATCACGTTACGTGTTGCTCCTGTCCGAGGTGCTTGTGCCTGCTGCTGTTGTTGTTGTTGTTGTTGTTGATGCTGGGGGATGAGGAGCTTGGTGTTGAGGCTGAAAATGACGAGCGTCTTGTCGGCCGACCCATTGCATCGATCCGTTGAGTGTCTGAAGACTTTGCAAAATTTGCAGTAGTGGCGCCGAGGTTGTTGTCACTCTTCACGGTTTGTTAGCGTAGAAGGCAATGCACTCTCGTCGTGATGCTAAACTTGTCCTGCTCGAGTCCATGTCCTGTTGTTCAGTGAGGAGAGCGGCGCATAGAGCAGTTTCTGAGATTACCCCTCGTTGTCGGAGTAGCGCATTGCAGGGCTTCCACCCAGGCCCGAGTCCTTGGAGCACGATGTTTACGAAGATTTCATCCGAGAACGCGCTTCCATGCTTCGTGATTTGATCACGGATGTTCCGGCAGCGATTAATATACAAATTTGTTTCTCCCCGTGCCCCAGTTTTGTCTTTATGAGTTGCTGCAGGAGCTTGCTAAAGGTGATTGAGTCCTTCGGTCTGATATACCTCAATGAGGTGCTTCCAGGCTTCAAGTGCTGGAGCCGCGCTCTCTTTATAGGAGCGGATGCCGAGTTGCTCCTCAGCACGTTGTGCGCCATCAAGGACTCGCTGTAGTAATGGGCCCTGGCGTCTTCGGTATCTTCCACCATTTTAGGGTAGGAGCCCTCGAAGTAGTGGTAGATCTGCGCAGTTTGTAGGGGGAGCTCATGCTCAAAACTCCATGTATTAAACCTTTGCCGTCAAACGCGGTGCTAGTCTTGATCTTGGAAATGTTGAGAAACCTTGCTTGCGCAGAGTTGATAGCTTCATCACTCGGATGGGGGGCAGTTGGTGTTGATTTGTCTGTGTCGAGGGAGAAGGTGTGCGGGGCGTTGTTACGACTTTTTGTGGCCGGTTGAGCAGGTTGTGCTGGTTGGGAAGAGGTTCCCGAGTCGCCATGCTGCAATGCTTGAAGGTCTTTCTCCATGGTTGACAGTCGTTTGAACATCTGTTCGAGTGCGACGGTGCTGATCGTGGTTGTCGCCTCATTTGTCGCAGCTGGATTGGATTGTCCCTCAGCCGTCAGATTCGTTTGGCCTCCGGATCCTCCGGCCATCTTCGTCTTGAAGCGTGTGCCGCTCGCCAGTTTTTGGTTCGGCGAATTTTACAGAAGCGTGGTTGCAAAGAATCCCTGAGTTGCTCTCATACCATGTTACAATCCTAAGAACGACTTAGCTAGGGATCGGCTCAGGGTCGTTCGCAGGTATCGTCATCGCCCGGATAGAAGACATATATGTCTTATCTCGTACACGGGCAAAAATGCTTGGGTTATCTTGTATTTGGGACGGTTTAGGGTGTTGGAAATTATTATATGAAATCTGTAAAACTTGCAAAGTGTGTAGAAACCACCCAGGGGCCAGATTCATTGAATTCGGCCGACCTCGGTGGTGATGCATGCGTTGGCACCAGATGCCACGTGAGGGATGCAGCAAAGCTACCTATGCTGGCAACATCCCTCCGTGCTGGCAGCATCTAATTATGCTGCCAGCATCGTTTTGCTGCCAGCAGCGCATGGATGCTTCCAGAACGCTGCTGGGAGTATGATGGCAGCGTGAGGGCTGCCATCTGCTGTCTCTACGAGGAGATTCCTCATAGAAGAGCGGCTCGGCAGCCTTTGTAAGGGGCGCTCTCGCTGGGGGGGATAGGCAGGCTTGAGCTTCATTTGGTGCTCAAGAGGGTTGAGATCTCAACCTTTGCTCTCGGCAAGCTGAACCATGCGGAGAAAAGTCCCCATAGGCACAGCGTCCCCTCGCCCTCACGTGCAGGTGAACAACTACGGGCGAATCAACTCGCCAAGTGATGACATCCATGTAGCTATGGCGAAGGATACGCGCAAGGCGAGGTGCTCTACCGCTCGGTGATGACATCCGTGTAGCTGTGAAGAGGAGGACGACGACGAAGAACACGGCGACGACAGCGAGGAGGATTGGCCGGAGAACGGCCACGACGATAGCGCGTCGGGGGATGAAATAGATGCTACCGACATCGATGACAACGAATGGTCGAATCGGCCGGTTGGCTCCGACGACGAAGTGGAAGAGTGGCGGGCTGGTGACTCGGACAACGACGGAGGTGCGGATGTTGAGGCAGCGGCGCATGCAACGGTGCAAGCCCCTGCGGCGGCGACGGCAGATGATGTGCCAGCATGAGCGACGGTAGATGCGGATGCGGATGCGGTTACATGCGACGATGCGGAAGCGGAAGCAAGCACGGAAGCGGAGGCAGAAGCGGGAGCGACGGTGGATGCGGATGCGGATGCGGTTACATGCGACGATGCGGAAGCGGAAGCAAGCACGGAAGCGGAGGCAGAAGCGGATGCGGTGGCAGTTGCGGCCGCGGATGCTGTCGCAAATGCCGATGCGGATGCGGATGCGGAGGCGGAGGCGGATACGGATGCTGCGAAGGGAGGTGCTGATGCGGTCTTCTTTGACGGTGAAGATTCCGAAGACGACCCACGGCGCATCAAGGCTTACGATGATGTTCCTCTGCTGAAGAGGAGGTTCCATCATCGCCTACAAACCAAGCAGAAGCGTGCCCGTGTGGTGCTCTCCGATGACGACAGTTCGGGGGAGGATCGTCAACCGCGCCTCACTGCTGCAGACAAGGGGAAAACCAAGGTCGCGGAGGTCACTGCTAAGGCCAACGTTCGTCGCCGAAGAAGCAACAAGAAGCGGAAGAACGACGGCAACCGGGGTTCCAGCACGGGTGTTGCTAAGAAGAAGAAGAAGACAAACAAGGACAACATCGTGGTCAACGAGGCGCTCGGCAGCGACGATGACTACGCGACAGGTGCAGGCCCGATTCCTACGTTCCCTGAGAAGGCGAAGCCGAAAGACCCCACCCTCCGTAATCCCAACTCCCGTCCCCATTCCCCTCGTCCCAAGCCGTGCTATAAAGAAGACAAGGCGTGGATGGACCGTGTGCGAGAAACTCAAGTGGGCGTGCCGCTACCACGAGCTCGGCTCCCTCAAGAAGACCTTCGCGGAATCCACCGCTTTTATTGCCTGCATCACGCGACTGACAATGATGCTGGTGTGCACCGCATCCGGGGAGAAGCTGCGTCCGTGAGTTTGGTTCAAGCTGAAGAACGTGCCAAACTGTGAGATTCTGAAAGGTAAGATCAAGAGTTTTGAGCTTGCCCTTCTTGGCTGATGCCCCCTCTGTCCCCTCTGTGCCTGGCAGGAGTCGTGGTCCAAGCACAGGAAAACGGGTGGATGGATGAGAGTGTTGTGCAGACGTGGTTGACCAGGGAGGTGCTGCCCCATCTGAACCCCCAGCGCGGCCAGAACGCGAGGCGTGCGATGCTGGTGTTGGACTCCTACCGCGGCCACATCACCAAAGGCATGCTTCAAGCGTACCACACGCACAACATCACCCCTGCAGAGATTCCAGCGGGTTACACGAGCCAGATTCAACCCCTGGACGTCTCCATCAACCGGTGCTTCAAGGCTTCGGTGCGAGCGCGCTACGCCAGGTGGTTCATGCGTGAAGGGATTCATCTGAAGACGAAGAAGGGTGAGTAAACTTTTAAATAGAAATTCAGCTATGTTACCCCTCCATGTCTCTAACGACACGCTGCCCCTGCCTCTGTCCCACCCGCAGGGAACCTGCGGAGGCCTCCGCACCCTGTGGTGCTGCAGTGGATCGCGGAGGCGTGGGATCAAGTCCCCAAGCAGATCATCATTGACGCGTTCCGCCACTGTGGGTTTTCAAGCAAGCTGGACGGGACGGAGAACCATCTGGTGATGTCTCACCTGCGCGCCAGGAGCACCACCGATGTCTCCGAGGACATGTGCCTCGGGGGAACTTTGGGTGACAACACGCGCCTGCTTGAGAAAGGTTCCAGCAGTGGAGGAGGAGGAGGAGGAGGAGGAGGAGGAGGAGGAGGAGGAGGAGGAGGAGGAGGAGGAGGAGGAGGAGGAGGAGGAGGAGGAGGAGGAGGAGGAGGAGGAGATTCAGGCGAAGGGCGTTAGGGAGGTCGCCGTGGCAACCAGCCTGGAGGTGCTGTACGAGGAGACCCCCAACTACCGCGGAGCGGCGGCCGAGGCTGACCGCATGATCGAGCCTAGGGAGACGGCTAGGCATGCCTGGCGAGTGCCAGACCTGGGTGTTAGGGAACATGTTGTTAGTGCAGGAGAGGAGGCCGTGACGGAGGGGGGCTAGGTAGAAATAGAAAATCATGAATGTATGCATGTACCCCCGTTAAGGAACTAAGGATCGTTTAGAAGAAACCCCCTCTTTATAAGAAAACTCCTAAACCCATGTTCTAGTTATGAGACATATATGTGTCCTATAATAGGTGTCCTATAATGAGGCTACCCCGTTAATAAGAGACGCCCGGATAATATACACCCCCTGTCTTCTATTCAACACTGTCTTATATCCGGGCGATGACGGTAGTGTTGCAGCGGAAGTGTTGACCTCAGGTCAGAGTGAATGTAAAATGACTGAGATGATAATAGTGTTACGAATAGTAAAATATGATTGTGCACTCCTAACCGCAGCAAAGCGAAGCATGTAGTATCGAAGCACGAACACGAAGAGTCAAAGTTGACTCGAGCCAAAGGGGACAGTTAGAGTGGATCCAGACTGTCAGAGGCAGACGGAATCGAGGAGCTGCAGGAACAAAGGAATTGGCGCGAACAGTTTTCGTAACTGTTTGAACAGCACGGTTGGGTTTGAATTTGAATAAGGGAATGTACCCCTTAGAGTACATGGCTAGCTAGGTCGTTTCGTATTCCCCTTGTACTACTATTTATATGCTTATACTTGCTTGTTTTAATCATCTCAATATTTTACATTCACTCTGCTTGAGATCAAGGGCCCACCATTACCATCCACTGCGTGCGAACCTTCCCGAGGTGATCCTAGGCTCGGTCAACCTCTGATCGTAACAAATAGCATGCATACATCGAGCTTATATAGGAAATACAGGGAATACGAAAAGACAAAGACTAGCCATGTACTCTAAGGGGTACATTCCCTTATTACAGCGAAATTCAAACCGTGCGGCGCGGGAACCCGTTTCAAATCTGTTCCTGCTCTTTTCACTTAAAATGTTTCTGCTTGCATCGGTCCAGATCTGACGGTTGCCGGGGTCGCTTCGACTCTTCTGACTCCTCGACTTCGTACTCGGTAGAGTCGGCTCTTGCAGCGTATAGGAATGCATTCTCATAAAGTTTCATATGTCAACAGACTAGGTAACAGGCACTGTTGAATAATATTTTTGCTGGGTATGCGTTTACCATGTGAGTGTCCAACCCAAGCCCTCAGATTGGTTTGAGGGTATGCTGATGGATCAGCGTGCCCCTGCCAACCAGGTGTCCAAATCAGCGTAGTGGTTTTCAATATACTGATACTGTCAGTGTAAAAATTCTTACTAAACTGAACCTGCAGTGTAAAAAAATCCAAAATAATGTAACTAACTAACTAACTAGCTAACTAGCTCATGTCATGTCATCATCTGAAGAATCACTCGCATCATCACCACTGCTACTGGCATCGTCATCACTCTCACTGCCATCGCCTGCACAACCCCACATGCCATCGTCTAGCTCCTCCTCCTCCACCTGCACCAGCCGGCGGCCACTCCCCTTAACAAACTTGGCCTTGGCCCGCTCCTTCTCTGGCGCAGCTTGCTCCTTGCGCTTGCTGGGGCGCCTTTTCCTGGTGCTCCGCCAGATGTCCACCACCTTATCCCATTCCATGTCGTACTCGAGCAGCGACATTGCCAACAAATCTCCCAGCTTGGCGTTGCAGAGACTCGTCCGGCGCCATGACTTGATCACATTCTGGGGGGAAAACCCGCGCTCGCACTCGACTGTGCTGAGCGGCAGAACAGCGACGGCAGCCCACAGACGGACTAACTTGGGGTAGCTGGTCTGCCAGTCGCTGGTCTGCAAGATGGCCTTCAAACCTGCGTGAAAGGGCTGCTCTTCCTTGGGCGCAGTGGAGAGCACCGGCAGGAACGTGCGCAGCTCCGCTCGAGCTGCACGCTTCTGGACACCTGCCCAACGGGAGAGCACAACCGGGTAGAAAGTCAAGCTCTCAACATGGGAATACCGCAACCACGGAAACGACAACGCATACACGCAGGTCAGTGGGGTTGTGTTTCTAGCTCACCTGGCAAGATCGTGTCCCGGTTCTTTGCCTGGAACAGATGGACGAGGCCGTGCAGGTGCTCCTTGTACTCTGCGTCTCTTGCCTCGACGCCCCTCGGCCACGAGCGGGGCATGAAGAGCTTCGCCCCGTTCAACCGCGTCAGGTCTCCCAAGCGCAGCTCGAGGTTGTACACCAGCTCGCGGGCGAAGGAGCGGCAGCAGGTGTAGCAGCCTTGCATGTCCCCGCTGCTGGTGGTGTATCCCTTCACTGCCTCCTCGTGCAGCTGGAACTTGTGTACCCGGGGCTGACCCTCCTTGTCCACCCCCTCCACAGTCACTTCACGGCAGTCGGGGGAGGCGTGCCGCGCGAGGAATGCAGACAGCAGCTCGCTGGTCCCACCGCCAAACTGCTGGCCACAGTGCAGGTACCGCTGCTCCATGTAGATGATGGTCCGCCTCACCTGGGAGTGCACTGCAGTGAGGTCAACCTGTTGGTAGGGGGAGAATAGGTACACCGAAACAAAAGATAAGCAACTGGGAGAAGAAGAGAAAAGCACAACGCAACTCAACACCTCACCTGACGCTTCTGGAATAGCAGGTTGAGCGCGTTGAGTGCCGTGTGCACATCTGCCAAGAAGAACAGGAAGTAATGAAACTTGAACGGCGTCACCAACTGGTATATCGTCTTGTCCGTCTCCTCGAGCATAACGATGACAGCAGGCAGAACGCGGACGAATCGGGCGATTGCATCGCCGCGACTCAACCAGCAGACGGAATGGATCCCCTGGACCTCGAGGTTGGTATGCGTGAACACCTCCTGCAGCTCCTTGAACTTGCGGTTGTAGTTGCCGCCTCCTTTGCAGCAAGCGCTTCCCTGCCACGGGTAGAAAAGCACAGGTGGGGGTGTTAGAATTCGCACATCTCACACCGCTACAACACCACCACAGCAACAGTTTACCTGTGTGCGATGCAGTGAGAAGCCACCACGTGCGGGATCTCCAGGCGAAGACACCCAACGAGGCCCGTGTCGTTGCCTATTATCACAGGTGCCCCATCGGTGCTGATACCCGCCACCTTCTCCAGCGGCAGGTTGATACTGTCAAGGAATCCCGTGAGCTTAGAAAAAAGAGACGCTGCATCACACTTCTCGATAGAGAGGTTAGTCAGGAACTCTGTGGTGACGGCGTGCTCACGCAGAAAGGTTACAAACACAATCATGTGCTTGCCTTTGACGCGGTCCGTACTCTCGTCGCAGCTCAGACCAATGAATGGACTCGAATCGATGAATTCTCTCTGGCGCGCACGAAGTTATGTCGCTATTGCTGCGGTGATCTCCTCGAATCCGTACCTGCACGGGCATCAACGCGTGTGGTCAGAGATAGCATCAAGTATAACACAACCCGCGCCAATATGTACAAGTGCAGTGTCACTTACGTCGTGTAGTAGGCACCATAACTGCTCTTTGGGAAGCCCGGTGTGCCACGCTGCGCTAGATGTTGGACGAGGTCCACGTACATCTCGATCGGGGCGTCGGACTTAGCGATGAAGAGTGCCGTCTCAAATAGCGCGAGCAGGCGCTCCTTCTCCACGACTTTCACCTTCGGGTTGTCGTCAATCCGGCGGTTAGCTTTGAGAGCCGCCTCGGCTGTCTTCTGTCTGCGCACAGCGCGGCGGTGCTTCCTTGTGTGCTGATGCTTCCGCATTGCCTGGGTCTACACATCGGTTGCCCCTTCTCCTTTGGCGCCGAAGTTCGTGCCCGTACCGGCGTGCGCAATGCAGACCGAGCACTTGATTGACGGGAACCCTGCACTATTCTGCAGCAGAACAAGCCACGGGTAGTCGTCAGACCATTGTTTGTTGTACATTAATAAGGCTTCTTGGTATTTCTCCTCGGCAATGTCTGGCAGTTCTGTATCGCAAGTAACCTCAACCGCTTTCCCCTTCATTTTACGCTGCCTTCGGGGAAGAGTTCCCCACACTGGACGTTGGCGTAGCTTGACTGGAACCCCACTGGATCTTTGTCTGGTGGTACCTCACTTTGATACCCCTTTTAAGACGTGGGCCTTGCCGAGTAGTTCCGGCTGCGACAGGTTGACGGTTCCGTGTGGGTTCGGGAGCGGCAGGTGTTGATCCGACAGCGTCAGGAGTTGATGCGGCAGCGACAGGCGTTGATGCGGCAGCGACACGAGTTGATGCTGCAGCGACAGGAGGTGATGCGGCAGCGCTGACATGCGTCGAACACTCGCCCTGCGTCCAGATGGTAGGTGCCTCGGGGCCCGAGGAAGGAAACGGAACGGTTTGAGCTGATGGCGGGACTAACGCGGGAGCAGCTGAAGCTCGTCGTAAAAAGTCTAGGCCAGTAAGGGCGGCTGGCTTCGTGCCTGCGACGGGCGGAGGGCCGTCACCTGCGGGCGTCGAAACCGCCATGGCTGCTCAGCGCTGCTGAGCGTGCCGAGCTTGAGGGAGAAGCTACTCATGCTTCAGCTCGAACATCACTTCCAGCAGGGGTACACGAGAAGTGCTGGAACAGAATGAGGGAGCAGATGTGGGTACCCCCTCTCCCGAGCCGCCATGGCGAGGGATCTTGGTCCAGGGTTTCCGTCTTTCCAGGCAAGATGACAACACCCCCACCCCACTGCCATCCATGGCGTGTTGGCGTGGACCCTGCCACCAGTGGTGTGTTGTCTGTGTTCTCATTGGGCAGTTGTGAACTAGGTTAACCGTTCTCTGGTGTGATGGCTTCCAGCGCGGCAAAACGGTTCGGCGCGCACAAGCTGTAAATACAGCGCATGTGATAAGATTCCAAGTGTGTGGGTGGGGTGGGGTTTCGTGAATCACGCGAAGGTACAGTCTGTACACGCGTCCCCCCCCCCCCCCCCCCCCCGCGCGGTCAAGTCCGTTTCAGGGTGACTCACTGAAGTATAGTGATTCGTCAGTGTTACTTGTTCAGAAACACACATAATCGTCAGTGTGGCAAAATCACATATACTGAAATTTCAGCCCATAATGGAAGCATTTACTGATTTTTCAGGGAAAACGAAATTCAGAGCTACAAAATCAGCG